TTCATCAAATCTTTCAATGTTCCAGCACACTGCGGATTGGGTTAGAGAGTCCTACAATTCTCGGGAAATCAGCTCAAACTGAGCAGCAACGGTTAACTGAATGAGAGCATCAGTATCGTCATGGTATAAACTCATTCCGTCGGGGGCTTGTCACGAGAAAATTAACGATGCATTATTGACGTGAAACTAACTACGGGAGCTAACCCGAGGTTACCTGATGGTATGGTGTTGACCTTTTGGGCAAGTGAGAATGGCTGATGATCCATGACAAGGTTACAACAGATATGCAGTTCTTCCGAAGGTTTTCAGTAGCATTATTAACAGGATAAAGCACTTTCCAGTCAAATTCAAAATAAATGGCATCATTCACTGGTTACTGCCGCCATAACGCAATACCTAACTATAACATTAACACGTAGCGATCGAGAACCGACGATGACATGCTTCAGAGTTACAGACACCTGAGGTGTGTGCTCCGTTTGAGTTACAATGGATCCTGGCTACTTCGAGCTTTAAATTCTACCTTGTTCACTTCTTCCATCCCGGCTTCAAAAAGACCAGCCCATTCTAGTTGTACTTCTTCAGCTAGACTTCCAACCATAAAAGTATAATTTTTCCTCATTCTAACGCTTCTTCTACTACTACTACTAAAACATTTGACTGAGACAGCCAGCAAGAAATCGGGGCAAGTACAAACTGAAAAAGAAATAAATTCAGTAGACTGAACATTTAGTGGTATAGTCCATGCACTAAAACAATGAACAGTATTTCGATTCGCGTGCTAGATGGAGACGAGTATACTGACATCAAGAGTTCACTACGTAGTCCCGCTGATCTTTTTTATATACAACAGAACACAAAGAAGCAAGCTAATTGTTCGTCAATGACATCTATCGGAGGGACAGATGTTTTCTTCTGGGAACGATGATTTTCATTCACCAACTCAATGTACTACTGATTTATAAGTCCAACTCTGTCAACGAACCTGAAAACACAAATATTTGGACGGGTGGTCGACCATAATCACTTTGCCTTGAGGCCATTCCGGTGGTTCCGCGTTCATGGACTCAGGATTCGGTGGACCGTCAGGCCAACTGGATGGAAGCTGTTCCGTTGAGTATGAAACAGGTCTCACCAAACCTTGAGCCTCCCAATTCAATTTTGCTGCACCCTCGGGGACAACGTGAACCTCCGACTCCGGGGACATGACTGCGGTTGGCATCGGAATGAGCTGTTGTCCCACACCGCAGGGTTTTCCATCGTATTCGCAACTGACCAAAAAATCACTCCAGTGCCACATCAGTCGTGAACGGTTGGCCATGTAGAAACCTCGGAAAGAACGTTTAGCTCGTTGACGCCAATATCCGTCTGCCGGTGTCCAAATCATGGGATTTGGTGTAGAGTGCTCATCAGCTCGGGTAATCCAATAATTCGTGACATCATGGTAACTAAAATTGAGGAGTTTAATGACGGCAGATATCTTAATTCGATGTGCTTTCAAATATGACGGAATGATTTCCGAAAATTCTGGTCTGTTGCATTCAATTATCGTTTTTCATAAGATTCAGTCGGCTGTAGAGCAGGTTGCGGATATTTATATATATATATATATATGTGTGTATATAACATGAGCGCACTGCAGATCGCTAACTCTATTCCCTGGAATGAACTGCACTTCAGTGTGAGTTGAACCAAAAACCTTATTCTACAGGACATCGCCTACAGTAAAGCTGGGGAGAAGCGAGGATTCGAAGCACCGTTTTTGAACCCCAATCGAGACGATAAATTGCGGTGGAAGTCAGTCTCTGACAAAGTACCTAAACAATGAAACTTGTACTCTAAACATCGATAACGAGTTTCATTAGGCGAACTTATCGACGGAGTCAAACACTGTATGGATTTCGAGAAACACAACGGGCAATGCTGATGCTCAACCATCTCACACAGTGATTTGATTGGATAGTTGATTGTCATATCCCCGACCAGGTGTCAAACCCAGCTCTCCAGTTAGCGCTTCTTGCTTGTTGACTTATATACGAGGCAAACCACACACTGGAAGCCTGAGTTGTATGAGAGTCGAATTTACACCTTTGTGGTTGGCGCACTCGATGGGAGAGTCATTTTTGACAAGGTGGATAAGCGCAACTTTCTCTTTAGTCGAGATTCAGGATGGTAGTTTGTATGGCTCTTTGGAATATAGAGTTTCATTATCTTTAGACAGGGAAGCTGAAACACACTATTGGACCTAAACGCCCCTCGGTATTTGGATCACTTTAAAAAACGATAACTGGGTGACCTTTATAGTACTTACATTTACCCCTGCCTTATAGTTTACCCAGGGCTCGTATCTTTCTGAAAATTCTCTCTCAGCATATCGACGCTTGTGAAAACTTCACTCGTAAAGTAGTGAATGATGATTATCCCTTCTGCACTCTAACTTGTCTAAATGCAATTTCACCTCATTTGTTCGTTCCAAGAACAAGTACCTCTAAACACAATCGGAAGCACACAGACCTCTGTTAATCCTTACCTTGACAATTATCGTCACAGCGATCGTATTTTTTATAATTTCCGCAAGGCACTTGGTTAATTCTAGATTTGCAGCTGATTTGATTGACTTATGGAATTCAGTGTTAAAAGGGTGTGCACCGGTTGAATGCACACCTACGTGTGATGAATACTACGACTGGCTCGACTTGATTTTAGAGTCGACTCCCGGCGCAACTTTGAAACAGAGAAACGAGCTGCTTATTGTGTAAAATATTTTATCTACTTAAAATTTGTCAGTCATCAAAAATCGTACTGATGTTGGTTCTTGTCAGCGCTTATGTAAAAGCAGACAAGATGTTCACAGACGTTAAATGAAGCCCAGATCCCACACAGAATAGCCCATTCATGCTATTGTACACCAACTTACCCAAATGCTTATCCATATTTTACCACAATAAAATGCATGACTCACGCTTTTGCCAGATCGGGGTAAGCCAAAACACGTTCTATGCTAAAAGGGCTATCTGGGCACACAACCACGGTCGGAAACTGGAAGCCCTCTTGTCCGTAATTGATCACTGTGGAGATGGGCATATTGATAAATCCAGCTACTAGGTCAGAAACAGTGTAGAAGCAAGCCACACACATGCCCAAAAGGATCAGTATGACCAGGCGTCTGGGCCAACCAGGTTTGGCCTCCAGTAAGACGTCGACACCGTGAAAGGTACTCCGTTCACCCAAAGTCCGGAGTCTAGTTTGAAGCTGCTCCAATTTTCTTTCATCTGCAATAATTCGTGCTTTTCTCTTGTGGGCTTTAGCTTCAGGAGTCAGGACCGCACGCCCCATACCGTAAACACATCAGTCGCCTGATTTAGCACGTGATCAGTCTATTGATTTGTGGATTTAACCAGTTATTGCGATACAGTTCGAATGCATTTCTGAATCATTCATCTGGTGATACTGACGTTGGATAAAATAACCGGTTTGTTTCTCTTAATTTTATTGGATCAACAATTTCTAGTAAGCATGACAAGGGATCTAAAAGAAACATTCAAATGACCAACCTCCCGTACTAAGGCTGAAGAAATATCCTGGTTTACTGACCATTTTTTATTTGAATCCACTTAGAGCAAGAGGGGNTTAAGTGACTGAGATGAGTAGCCGCTGGAGGGGTTGCACTGATGTTATCAGGCTATTCGAATGATTACATCTCTTCTGGCAGACTGTTTTTGTTTTCCCCGGTTCTGTCCCCGTATTTTTCGTTCACCTATGGGTATTTTGGCGTAACGATTGGTGTTATATATATATATATATTTATAGAAATGAGAAACAAAATATTTCTTTAAATTATTCTAGATGTAAAAATGTCGTATATTTTTCTACAGATGAAGTGTGATAAACCTTTAACCCATCAGTCATAAACTAAGCACCCTGGTGTTACCTTTGTCGGAGATCTTACTCAGTCTGAATATATGTTCTTCGATTGAGCTTTCGTTTTTGCCTCTTGATTTTGTTTATATCCTTACTCCTTTATTCATCACTAATCTCTTTGTTAGAAACTTCAAAATCACATGTAGTTCCCTCGAATTTTCACCTTAATGCAGTTGCTTGCTTCACATTTACCTTCACCAATAAGACACTTCGCAATAACTCCAAACGTGTGAGAATTTTTGAGGGAGCATTTGATAAGTATCGTTGAACACTCGTTCCCGAAACAACCTCCTGTGTACACAAACGTCTATATCCCGAGTCCTGAGGCCGTAACTTTTACGGCCTGTTTGCCCGATCACCTTGTGTGTTTTGGCAGCTCCGTTCCCAAATTGCTGTTTTAGAAGCTTCAGTTGAGTGGCTGTTGTCGGGTAACCCACCTAGGGTGGAGTGGAAACTTCATTCCACTTGAATTTCCAAACTGATTATCACAATTTCACAACTATTCGTGGTTATTTGACGGTGGGATCTCGTGTGATTGAGGATTGCAAAGCCCAGGGCTAATATGTATAGGCTAAGATCATTGAACATTGGATTCTTACTACTATGGGGTTTGTGTTTCTACCGCTCATCATCTAATAGTGGATAATAAAAAAGGTCAAATTGATGGTTATCAATGCATGGTTCAGTCCATTTGTTCCAAATTTATGGGAATTGTTACACCCTGTTCGAAACGTTCCGTATGAGTAACCGGAAGAAATCTTCCCATGAATCACATAAATGGTTGCAACGGATTGGTTTATGTGCATGGTTAACGGTCACACTGTCCGCCTCTTGTCTTCCGGAATTGTCCCTTGTTCAAATTGTTCCTTCCCATGGTAAGTTATTTGTTTGCAACGGTACAATGATTTCTTCCCAGCACACAAATATCAACACAACCTGATTAGTTGATTGAAAACTGAGTGAAAATAAATCAAGCGAAGTGAACCGTTGTGTTTATCACCCAAAACTTTGGGTGAGTTGTCACCAAATACAAAACAATAGAAACGCAAACTGAACAGAAGAAGTGCAGTTTAAAGTAGCCTATTTCTTGTGTGAATTGAGTCTGATCAATGCTTTGAGACCAAACTATGATTACTGAAGGCTGTTCGTGGGTCAGACAGCAACAGCTATTGGGAAAATATCTTTCCGAATGATTCGTGCTACATCACTTATAAGCTAAGCTAACAGCCGTTTCGCTGCCCTCACTAATAGAACGGCAAGTACGGTTGAATTCCATTTGCGCATACCTCGGGTTCGATCCCCTGATTGCTAGGATGTATAAGCATAAAGATCATTGATATCCATTGCCCAACGTGATTGAAACCTATTAAATTTACTCCGTAGAGTCCTACAAGGTTATAGTGAACAATCTTGCACATCCTGATTTCAAATAAATCACAATGATTGTCACCATTGCGAACTGTGATACACCATTGCTTTGTGTTTGCGCTCAACGTGTCTGACAGGATTCACAAAATTTCCTGGCCCTCGTCATTTACTTTTCAGGTGTTCTTTTTTGACTGAATGCGTTTATTACAGCACAGTACAATGTCACATAAATATTCTCTGGATAGCTAAACAAAACATCACCCCGGATAGTTATTTGCTCACTGAGGTCATTTAGCATGCAGATATTGACGAGAGGACAGTACTCACACTAGAATCCACTGTTCTAACCACAAAAGTATCACAATCAGAAACAGTATATTTTATCTGCAGGAATTCCAATGAGGAACCTCAAGAAACTGCCGTCAAGATGTACATTCAAGGTAAACCTCGCATTTGACGGAGTTAATTATCTACAAACTAATGGAGTCACAGTGATATCCCTTTAGTCCACACTTTGTTACTGCTGAAAAGGTTCACCCATTCACATCCAGTGATTAAATTGCCTCCAGGATGAAGAAAGTCCGATTGATCTACTGCTTTCAGACACCGATATTACGAGAGGCTTGGAAAGTTTAACGAAAAAACATACCAAGTGAACAGTACAACAACTTTCGCAGCCTTTTGCCCGTAAACCAGCAAAAGTGCAAGCAACAAGAAGCGCCAACCGCACATGGTCTACTCACATGGCAAACGCAATACAACGAAAGGAACGTACAGTGATATCGGCGCCAGTGACCGTGAGTTACGGACGAACAACTCAGCACTTAACTGTCGGGGTTGGTAAAACTCTGTTCATCTACATACCATTCAGCATTGGCTCGGCAGCGAAGAATACCAACACGATTGCGTGTCGTGGTTACCGCCATATCGAACGAGGTTGTACAACCGTGCAATTTTCCACAACCTATGTTTTCAGATATAACCAAAAAGGAGAGTGACCGTTTTTGACTTCCACAAAGGTCGTCTATTAGTTTATGAGCACCTGTGTTATCACTTTCCTTAGTCGAAGTGTAAGAGATAAATCTATATGGACATCCAGCTACGCTGGATTGGATGCAGCTTCCACAGACCCTCGATATAGGTAGCCCAGGATCTATGACGTCAATCATAATTGCGTTATCGATTCGGATCACAGTGACACATACTATATCCGACTCCTCAATTTATCGATTGCCCGATCCACTAATAGAATGACGAGGTTCCCCTATTTTATGGCAATAAAATTGTAACAACTCAAAAACAATTAATTAGAAACATATGTTCGCCTACATCACGTGTTTTGGTTAGAAATCTTTTAAAACTAACCAATTTGTGAGTATGGTTATTCCGTGTGCACTCGGTCCAGAATAAATTGGAAGAACACATAGTGAAAACGATTTTTCACTTTTGGAATTATGATTTCGGGAATAAAAAAAGTATGAAATACTTTATGCGTTGACATTTTGACCATGGATTTGATGCAGCACTCTGCAACTCCACGATCCACCTCATTTCAGTTATATTGTTGTGTGTGATTTACATGATTATATCTCTTCAGGTAGTTTGTCCTTGGTTAACCCTGTTGAATACTTAAGAGGACTATTATTTTTGTGTACTAAAAACGGTCGTTTTGAATTCAAGGGACTCACATACAAACGGACTGATGACGTAATCATGTGCAGTATACTAGGCCCCACTTCCATCTGATGCATTTTTGGGAATGACTGAACAAAAGCTTGCCTATAATACGTCCCAGTTCACATTGCACGAATGTTATATGAACGATATTTTTATTCTTACGAAGTGAGAACATTTTGAATTCATTTTGAAACTAATTAGTTCATCCACAGCTCTTAGCATCTCATGAGGAAGAAACTGATGATTTCTTAGAATCTTTGTATCTTAGTATTACGAGCCCCTTAGATATCTCATTACAATGTTCCGTTCACCGAAAAGCAGCATGGAGTGGCGCCCATTCATCAACTCATTATTCTTGCAACTTCAGTCTATGTAAATGCGCTATCTTCCGCTTGAATCTGCTGTCAGCATTCTAATATTAATTCTGCTATTTTATCCAAATGGGCAACCAAAAGACAGCAACCAAAACCGACGCACGAAAGTGCATGATTAATGGTTATAAGAACTGAACAGAACATAGAAGTCAGTACCTACGGTTCGCTAGATTTTCGCTAGTGGCTTACAAACGTTAACTTGTAAAATGTCTGTTCCATCGAACTAGAAACATTTGTTCCCCAGATACATTGTGGGAAGATGAAGAATTCCTAAAGAAAACATTATCGCATAGTAATCACTCCGAAAGATACATTGATGTCCATAATAACAAGTCGCGAAAGGTAACTCCAAATGCTCCCCGAAAAGCTGACTATGGCAAAATATCTTTTAATGGCGATCAACTTCTGAACTATGCGCGCTAAAAGTTCAAGTCAGCTCTGAACCGCACATTCCCAGGTAGTCAAGTTTGACTTATTGCCGCTACTCGCGGAATTGATTTGGACAAACGGTAGGCAATCTAATTCTGTCCCACACACTGCGTACCGGTTCATCTGCAGCTGCGGTGAGGCATACATTGGCAGAAACAACCGCCAACTCTCTCAACAGATGGCCAAACACATTTAAAAGTGGTTAGTGAAGTAGTTAACACCCATACTCGATAGTCAGACAGTAACACAACACCTAGGGTCATCCGTTGAAAAATAAGTTGTGACAACCAAACATTATTACTATTGCTATTTTATTATGATTATTTTCACTTCCTTTTATTGGATATATGGTGATGAAATTTTCAGGAAGGGGGAAATGGACAATCAGAGGACTGCCCTGCATTGATTCCGCTACCTCTTTCATACCCCTACTAAGTAGTTGCAATGCGTAACTGTTGGCAACTAGTGAGGCGCTGTTAATCAGATTACATCATCCCGTTCTGTGCGCTTAAAAGTTACTGACGCAATCAGTTCAGTTGCGGTGGAGCTGACCACTTGTTTTCAATC